TTTTTATGTAAAATAATAACGTTTTAACGAAATGAGCGTTTAAATGGCTTCCTTTGGCGATATTTCGCCTCGGCTTTGTTGACAACTACTCAGTGTTGCGAACTGTGAAGAATGACTTGAAAATACAACTTGTGAGTTTTAAAAATGTTTAAAAACATGTCGTAAAACAGTATAATAGTAAGAGACCGTTAAAGAAGCAAAGTTTGGTTTATTAAAACTTATTTAATAGAAGGAAACAAGGCTTAAAAAGTCCAAAATTGCGAACACAAAATGACTTCCCGAATTGTTACTAAATTAGTAAATAAAGTATACGTTAAAAAGGCGAATAAAAATGCACACACATGCAAAAGAATCCGATTATCCGAATGTCGTTGAAATCTTTAAAGTATCTGGAACATAAAGAGGCAAACCATTTGCATAATCTGGTATATATAGACAATAGTTTAGATTAAAATTTAATCGAAAAACTTGACTCAAAAAGACTCGAAAAGGCGAAAAACAATCTCGGTCAAAATCTCAACATTTAAACGAAAAAACTCTTTAAAATGACAGCTAAATACATGGACTCGTACCTAAAACATGCAGACACTAAAGAGGTTGAGAAAATAGGGGTAAGTAGCTACAAAGTATTGTTGAATTTCAACGATTCTGCTTGGAATATTAACAAACATTGCAGTGCATATATTTAAAAAAATCGCCGGCCACTTTCTTGTTCAAAACTACGAATAAAGTTGAGAAAACTTAAACATTTTACCGCATTTGTCAGCAATTTCCAAGCGTCTTTTTTGTGTGTAATCCAGAACCAACATTAGGCCATTTTGATAAGCTTTTTTCCCCTTAAATGCAGCTTTTAATACTTAAAAGCGGCCATTGACTCTCGCGCCCTTCGTCGCTTGTTGCTACTAGTAGGCTATCACTAATAACCTACTAGTAGCGTAGCCAATCAGAACGCACGATACATGATAGCCTACTAGTAGGTTAATACTAAAATTGTATAGTTTTAATATAGTAAGCCCTTCCTTTCTTCCTTCTTTCCTTCCTTCCTTGCTTGCTTCCTTCCTTGCTTTGTTTGTTTGTTTGTTTGTTTGTTTGTTTGTTTGCTTGCTTGCTTGCTTGCTTGCTGGCTTGTTTGTTTGTTTGTTTGTTTGTTTGTTCGTTCGTTCGTTCGTTCGTTCGTTCGTTCGTTCGTTCGTTCGTTCGTTCGTTCGTTCGTTCGTTCGTTCGTTCGTTTGTTTGTTTGTTTGTTTCCTTCTTTCCTGCTTTCCTGCTTTCCTCCTTTCTTTCTTTCTTTCTTTCTTTCTTTCCTTTCCTTTTTTCCTTTTTCCTTCTTTCTTTTCCTTTTCCTTTTTCTTTTTTTTTTTTTTCTTTTTTCTTTTGCTTTCTCTTTTTCTTTTTCTTTTTGCCTTGCCTTGCCTCCCTCCCCTCCT